TTTGGTTCAATTATGTTTCAAAATAACCCAGCTGATTTTTCGTAGATATAATTTAGCTCATTAGCCAGTCCTCTAAAACAAAAAACAAATATATATATATATCTACAGAGTACAAAACTCTATCTTTAATTCTTGCTATCACTTGTAAGTTGTAACAAATGCCAATTAAAGAACAGCAGACTTTTTAAGCCACTTTATCATCCATTACAAACTTCTCACTATCTTCCAATTCCAATTTTTCTTTTCTTATAAGGAATAAAATTAAAAGGAAAAAAAAAAGAAGAAAAAACACAGCCAGAACAATTCACTGCTTTACACCAACCCGAAATTTGACAATAGAATACAATGCACCAAAACTGAGACAGAAAGAAGCTCCTTCAACCGATGACAGTTTGCGAGGCTAACGACTTGAGAGGTAGGGAGGAAAAGCGGCCATCAGCGCTAATAATGATTAAAAAATCAAGATACAAATGGGCTCAAGAACACGCCGTCTATGAAGAATTCCTTTAAGTAAACAAATCTCACGCTGCAGATTCACTTTCCAATGCCAAGTTCTTTGCTGATGTCTCTCGTCAAGCTAAACTGCATGGTGTTGTGCCAGGGAAATAGGGTTCGAGTAACTGGAAGCTTTCTTCGGAGGTCCTGTAAAGAAATTGCGCATTTAAAAGACTAACATTAAGCTTTCTTTGAGTAACTGAATCATGGATAAGTCTAACTGGATGTTTAAGAAAGCACGGATTATGCATCCCACAAATAATATTTTTTTAAGAAGGCAGTTAAAGCAGTCACTTTAAGTTAAGATTATAAGAATAATGGAACTTTCTTGTTATGCTTTATGCTACTTCGACCAATAATCCTGAGTCCTGACGTTAACAATCCTGACATGCTGATAAGTGCACGAATTTGCACTTTTAATGTTCATAATTGTCAAATTATTTTATCAAATTTGTGATTTTAATTTCAAATATTCCTAAATTTAGAGAATTTAATTTTAATTGGATTTACTTTATTTTTCATGTTTTTGAAGAAAACAATTGGATTTGGGCTAGTTTACCAAGAAAAACCCAAAAGTTGAGCCCAATTCGGCCCAAAGCCCATCAGCCCATCATCCAGCCGAGCCGAGCCGAGCCGAGAGCCGCGAGCCGAGCCAAGAAGCCGCGAGCCAACCCAGCCGACACGTGTCGATCACTGCCGCACCGCAGGCCGTGGGACCCAGCTGTCCCCTCGCAGACGCGCACCTGGCGCGCACCGCCCACTCTCCGCGCGAGTTCTCCTCACGCGCGCGTCAGGCACACTTCCTCTCTCTTCTGCGTGGGTCCCGCGTGCCAGCGCCCCTCCAGCCAGATCTCGCCACGTGTCCCAGTGGGGTCCAGCTGCTCCCCCGCGTACGCGCGTTTTGCGCGCACTTTCCCTCTCCGCTCGAGTTTCTCTCCCGCGCGCGTCCAGTTCTCTTCCAGCGTGGTCCAGCTGTGCACCACATAGCAACGTGTCCCAATGGGGTCCAGCTGCCCCCCGCGTACGCGCGTTTTGCGCGCACTTTCCCTCTCCGCTCGAGTTTCTCTCCCGCGCGCGTCCAGTTCTCTTCCAGCGTGGTCCAGCTGTGCACCACATCTCTCCTGCGCGCGAATCAAGTTGCAACACGTGTCCCACTCTTCAGAAACATGATGTTTTTCTCCCCCGATTAAGCATCCGATTTTTATCTTTTTAGCATATTCAAACTCTATAAATAGAATCATTATCAAGGTGATTAGAAGTTATTTATTTTTAGAATCTAAAATTTCACACAATTTTCTCTTATTTTCTTGTTCTTATTCTCATACTTTCTTTTTAGAATTTTATGAGAATTATGTGCAAGCTAGGCTAGAGTATTTAGGTGAGGCTAGAGATGATCTTATATGTGTAGTGAACTAATTTGGATTTTTTATTCTCCAATGGTTTGTAAGTTTTATACATTTGAGTAAATAATTTTTTAGAATTTTATTTACTTGAATACATTTTTAATTCATATGTTCTTCAAATATTTATTTTCCGATTGATTGTTTGGGATGTGAAACTTTCAATTGAGTCAATTTATGAATCAAAATCCAAATAGGTGAACAAAGCATATGGAGGATTCTCAAAGCCTTACCACTTTTATTTATTGAATTTTTTCCATTTTAAATTGTTCAAAAAATCATTAAAAACACTCATTCATTTTTTTTGTTTGATTGCTTACTTTCCTAACGCTTTTTATTTGCTAATCATTTCTTGTTCAATTCAACACTTCCTCGTGGGATCGACCGTTCAAATTGTACTACAATTGACCGCTTATTTTTGTACACGTTTGGGCGTAATCACCATTCTTAAGGCTCCCCTCCAGAAGCACAATTTTGGTAACCTGGTCTTTGACAAAGCACTTGTGAGAATGAAACTCAAAGAAGACATTATTATCATGAGCAAACGTAGACACACTAAGGAGATTTTTTGTAATTTCAGGGACATGTAAAAGATTTTTTAAGGAAAGAATTTTAGAAGAATAAGGAGACACAAAGCTGGATTGACCAATATGCTTAATGGCAAGGCCCTTACCATTTCCAACATAGACTTGCTCAGGTCCGAAATAGTCTGTCATCTGCATCAGGTTGTCTGGGTTTGAAGTAACGTGACTGGATGCTCCTGAATCAAGGTACCAGCTTGGATCTGCAACTGTTTCAGGAGTGGCAACGAAAGCTTGAGCAGAGGCAGAATCCACAGACGGATTTGAAGTGGTGGTGGCAACATTAGCAGTAGGGTTGAAAGGAGGTCTCTGCCCACGTTGAAATTGAGAAGGTCCTTGGAAAGAATGATCAAACCTGTAATAGCAGTCAATTACAACATGTCTAGTACGGCCACACAATTGACATTGTGGTCTGTTAGAAGACCAAGAACCACGACCACCTCCATTGTGATGTCCTCGACCTCTACCTGGATTGCCTCCACCTCGAGATTGAAAATTACCCAAGAATTGAGGCTGAAAATTCCCACGAGGAAAATTATTCCCAAATTGTGGTGAAAAACCAGAATTGAACCTCTTTTTGTTCTTTTGATTCGAATGAGAGGAAGCCAAATTAGCTTGAGCCGAATCAAGAGACTTGTGATTTTTCTCAATTCGAGCCTCTTGTGAAAGAAGAAGAGACTCAATTTCTTCAATAGTGAAAGCATCATTTCGAGCTTCTACCGTAAGAACGAAAGTATCATACTTAGAGGATAATCCTTCAAAGATTGCTTCAAGATGCTCTTTAGAAGGAACAGGATGGCCAACTAAATTTAACATGCTCACACAATGACGAATTTTCAACAAATAATCATTCATCGTCAAAGAAATCTTCTTAATATTTTTAAGTTGAGTTTTATATTGAGAAATTTTGGCACGAATTTGAGCAGCATAATAAAGATTCAGAGTGTACCAAACTTGAGCTGAAGTTTCACAATCAACAACCCTAGCAAGAACCGTCTCGGACATGGAAGAGAGCAGCCACGATACCAACAGTTGATCTTGTTGCTCCCAGTTCAAGAAATCTTGATTAATCCGTCCTGCGACTTCATCTGCGACACTAAGAAACTTCAATGGCGGAGAACTCGAATCGGAGATGAAATCCAACAGGTTATGCCCTCGAATCGTCGAAAGGGCCAATTTTCTCCACGGAAGAAAATTAGAATGATCAAGTCGAATCGAGATCGAACGGCTGAAAGAAATAGGATTGAAGCGAACAGAAGAAATGGAAGCTTCAGCCATGGCGGACACGGAACCACTCTCTCCAGAATCTAAAGGCTCTAATACCATATTGAGTTTCAAGGAAAGAAGAAAGAGATATTTTCTAATGAATGAAATTGATCTGTTTTCATTACCGAGTAAACTGTACAGTAACATCTTAAATAGCTCAACTAAACTCTAACTAATAACAACAAAGACCAATGCCTTACTGACAAATGTAAACTGATCTAACTGACTAATAACAACATAACTAATCAGTTATCTCTAACAATACAAAACCAGCAACTTTTCATCTTCTATAAGAAAAAAATCCAACAAATATTGCTCCTCTAATTCGCACGATAAGGATGAAAATTAGTTGCCCTTCTGCAAATTCTGAATTTTTTCTATTTTTTGTTTTTTGTTTTATTGGGTTTGGGTTTTCTATTGTTCCACCATTAACCTGCGACACTTCATCTTCTCAGAATTCGAAAGCAGAGATGAGCTGGATTTATTCAGCCCGCTTTCCCCGTTCCATTAATTTTGCTGCTTATAATGTCACAAAATGGTGTCTGAATTCTTTGAATTTCCGTTGTATTCCTCTAGAGTTATAACAAGTACGTTCATTTACACAATTCAAATTAAAATTATGATTTGAGTTGATGTAGGTGAGAAAAAAATATTATAATAAAAAAAATTGAATTTAAATTTTTGTTAGAGAAAATACTTATAGTAGGATTAATTCATTGCCTTGTCCAGCTCTTTCTTCGTTTTGATTCTTGTGTTTTTGTTTGAATGAAATCCACTTAGACGGAAAAAAAAAAACAAAAAAAAAACAAAAAAAAAAACAAACAAACAATGGCAGAAGAAGCCCACGTAAAAGTTGCCGGGAAAAAAAAAAAAGAACAAACAAACGATGGCAGAAGAAGCCCACGTAAAAGTTGCCGTTCTCGAAAACCTTTTTTTTTTTTTTTTTTTTTTTTTTTTTTTTTTTTGGTAATGGGGAGCTGTTGTGGGTACAATCCAAGAACATGTTATGCTTTGTGATAATCGATATTTACAGAATTGGAAAGGTCATGTGAAGAAACAAAAAAGTGATTTTAGATTTTGAAAGGGGTATATTAATAAAAATGTGTTAAATTAAAAGTAAAGAATTAACACATGAGATGGAATGACACATCACTTATCATGTAAGTTGGTACTCAAAAATTAATTTTTAAGTTGATGTCCTCAATATTATTCCATGCATTAAGCAACAATTCAAAACAAGCAAGATAAATCACCCCAAACAAATAATCAATTGATTTATTTGATCAATGGAAAGATTGGAATTCTGAAATTGAACAATGAACTCAAAATTCAGCAATAAAGTTAAAAATCTCATTGCTAAACCCGCTACAACAAGACGCTTTTTTCTTGTCTTTTGCACAATTTCACAAGAAAATTGATCAGTTGGTTCTCCTCAAAAATAAGCAAGAAACATGTTCTTTTGTATTTACAGAAAAAGAAATATAAACCTACAAAATTCACAACCTTTCCTAATCCTCATCGGTAGACACTTTTTGCTTCTTCCATTTGTAGGCAGCTTCTAGTATCTTCAGATTCGTGGTCTGAGTTTCATCTGGGAACAAATAATCTATGTATTCCTCGTACCTGTCAATTCAAGATTTGCTTGTGTTAAACACATGGAAAAAGGCAAACAAAAACTTACCTATATTACAGGCTAAATAGAATAATTTAAACCAACAAAACAAGGAATAAAAGGATAAAGCACATACCCAGTAGGACCATCCTCCAATACAATTTGTCTCCTTTTCTTTAGCTTCTTTGGCAGCTTTGACTGCACGAGGCCAACATCACCAAGTTCACCGAAAGAAGCCTCCATGTTCAACCACTCTTCCAGAAGCATAGCCCTCTCTTCCTTCAGTTCAGGTGCTGATGTTCTGAAGTAGTTGACTGCTTTCTCGAAAATCCCTGATATGCAAAACAACAAACCAAAAATGGCGGTGAGACAGGTTGTTCAACTGTCAAGAAATGTGCAAAATTGAAAATTGTTAAGCCAACTTACTTCTTGCAAGTTGAATGCAGAGTTTCTTTTGCTCACGGAGATGCTCTTCCATATCCTCTTCTGCCAAATCTGGATTACTAGTATCCTCCATGGCAGAGGCCTCAAATTTTGCATAGCTAAGCCACACCTTCAGGTGCTTTGTCCGATCCAACAGTCTCTCATAAAGTGCTCTGGTTTTTTCAAATTCACCCTCTGAAATTTCAAAGTCGATGTAGGCCTATCATACAAATAAACATACACATTAGTAACAAACATAATGCCTCTAAACCTTTAACCAACATATGAATAATTTGAACTTTTCCTACAACCAAGTCTCATTTCTAGTAGCAAGGGATTTCAATAGGTCGCAAGAATTAAGTGCATAAAAAATTCAGACGTTAACACAAAATCAACCTCTTTACATCACTAAAAGAGGGGAGGGGGAGCAATCTTGAATATTTAGTGCCTGCTCATGGCGCAGTTTCTTCTAATTTTTCCAGCTCAAATTAAAACTTTCAATTGCATATAACCATTGCACCATATAAAAAGGATGAGGTCTAGTAAAATGCACTCACTTTCCACAACAATTCTGGCATGTCAAGTGCTGGCTGATCTATTGCAAGTTCAAATATGCCTCTTGCCCGCTCTGTCTCGCACAAAGATTTTTCCAGTTCAGCATATTTGCTCCAAGCGTAGCAGTTTTCTGGAGCCCACTCTAGATACCTTTCATAGAGTTTCCGACACCTATCCATGTTGCCGAGCTGAAGCTCAATCTCGATATACTTCTTAAATATCTGGTAGTCAAAAAACATGTTAGCATATGAATCAAGTAAATCATCAATTTAATTCATACACTATTTTTCACTGGGACTTCAACAAAGTTATTACCTTATCTTTGGGAGCTCTACCAATTGAATTGCCAAGGATATGGCGTGCACCTTTGAGATTCAATTGTCGTATTTCAAACTGCGCTGCAAGGAGCCATATTTTTGCAAAAGAGAACTTTTCATGAGGAATGAGCTTAAGACCCCCCCTGGAAAAAAAAAAAAAAAAAAACCCAGTTAGTTATGAAGGATTAATAAGTTTCCTCTGCAGAAACATCGACAGGGAAAATTACACAACTAATTCACTCTTTAGTCTTTACTCTCATAAGTTAAAAACTTTCAGCGTATGTTCATCAGCTGAGTAAACATTGAAAAGACACACGGCAGGTTTCAAGCATAAAGCAAAGAGTGCAAAAAAAGAACTAACTCAGAATACCGCTAATGATAGGGGAAAAAATACCTGTACACGTCTCGTGTTCTCTCTACATCTCCAGCATCAAGCTCCTCATATAAAGCATAATTTATCCTATAAGTTACACATAAGCAGAAAAGGCAAAATCAGCAACCAATAGACGAAAAAAAGAATCACATAGCTGCAAAATACACAAATATGCATCATAAACCAGTTTCCATCAGGAGGAAGAAAAAAACAAACAAACTTAGCAACAATTAAACAAGCAAACAATACTCCAATACTGGAAAACACACACATATGAATATTAAACCAGAATACCAGATTTCTCCCTGGAAAAAAAGGGTCAATTATATAAACAAACAAAACCGTTGCTGCAAAATACACATGAATCTTAAACCACATTTCCGTAGGATGAATCAAAATCAATACCAATTATACGAACAAACAGAACCCCGTTGCAGCAAGACACAAACATATGAACCTTATACCATATTTCCATGGGGAGAAAACAAATCAGAAACAATTATACAAACAAACAGAACCCACTTGCTGCAACATACACATGAATCGTTAACGCAATTAACATCAAAGAAAACAAGCTCAGCATCGGTAACGATTAAACAAATAAACGAAAACACAAGCATAAGAATCTTAAATTAGATTTCCATCAGAAAAAAAGAACAAATTCAGCAAGAATTATACAAACAAAGTAACAAACAGCACCCCATTACTGCAAAATACAAAAACTTTGATTCTTAAACAACATTTCCATCGTTAAAAACACAGTGTGCAACAATCATACAAACAAACAGAAGTTGTACCAAGAATCCTAAACAATATTTCCACCAGGGGAAAAAAAAAAAAAAAAAAAAAAAAACTCAGCAACAGTTAGACCAAAAAACAGAATACACAGACATATGAATCTTAAACAAAACTTCAATAAAAAAGCTCACCACAAATATATGTATCTCTGCCAATATCGCTTCTCCTCGGCCGGAGGAACATTAGCAATGGCTCGCTCGTAAACCTCCCTAATCCTCTCCTTTATTCCAACACTCTCCTCAAGTCTAATGTAATCGAACCAAGTGTCGTAATTGAGAGGATTCTTCCTGACTTCATCCTCATACTGAAACCTCCTCTTCCCCACAATGGCATCCTCAATCTCCTCTTTACCTCCGTACTGCTTCTCAAAAGCAACATACTTTTTGAGCAAGTTCTCAATCTTTGATTTAGGTATATTATCACGAGCAATCTGGTATATTTTCCTCGCTCTCTCTATCTCCTTACCCCGCTCTTCGAACTCGGCAAAAGCCATAAATAGCTCCTCCGCATCCTCGCCATCGCCCAATTTTATCACAGCCCTCCTATACACATCCCTAGCCCTAGCAACTTCACCGTTCTTCATCTCGAACTTAGCGAATCGAATCCAAGCCCCGACAGTGGGGTGGCACTCCACGAATCGCTCGTAAATCGCCCGAGCGCGTTCCACCTCGTTGTACCGGAGCTCGAATTTGATGTAGGAAAGCCAACCTTGCTTGTCGGGCATCCAGTTCATCCACCTCTCGAAGATCTGCCTAGCTCCGGCGACATTCCCGAGCATCTCCTCCATGTGAATGTACTTGTACCAGAGCTGATCAACCCTAGGCAGAAGCGTGACGGCTCGGTCCCAGACATTCCTGGCGTGGTTGATGAATTTGTTCTTCATCTCGACCTCGGCGTATTTTAGCCAGAGAGTGTGGTTCCGGTAATCGACCTCGAGAGCTCTCTCCCAGACGGACCTGGCGCGGTTGAAATCCTTCTGAGACTCCTCCCACTGCGCGTACTTGATCCAGACACTGGTGTTCCATCGCACCCGGCGGATTACGTCCTCGAACTCCTTGCGCTTGCGGAGGCGGTAGTCGGCGAGCTCTGTGGCGTCGGTGATCTTCTGCTTCGGAGGGCGTATCTCCGCCTCCTGGCGCTCGCGGGCCTCGCGGAGGATTTGCTCCGCTGTTATTTGAATTGGGGCTGGAGTTTTGTTCTTAACCCTAGTCGGACGTGGGAGTTTCACCTCCGTGTCTTTTCGGGTTAGATACCCAAGGGTTGGGTCCCCGTCTTTACCGGACGCCATTGCTAGGGTTTTGTGAACTCCGAAAGGAAAGAGAGAAAGAGAGAAAGAGAGACGGACGGTACAGAGGGAGCGCCTGCGAATGGCTTGTATTGTAGGGTCGTCTTGATCTTTTCTTCTCACTTTAAACGCACCGTTCACCAATTTCTACGTAAGAATTTTTTATTATGGTAAAAAAATTAAATAAAAAAAATTAAGTTAAGGGATATGATTCGTGTTTTTAATTTAAATTAAAATGTAATTTTATGTGAGAATTTTTTATTATAATAAAAAAAATTAAACATAATTGTTTTTAAAAATTTTTTATTGTAATAAAATTTGGATCAGTAAAATAAATAGAAAATAAATTTTCTCTTTTTTTAATTAATAATTAAACTTCACGAGATTTTGCATCTATTATCACCCTAAATTTTAATTTTAATTTTCAATATCTTTCTTGATAAAATTTTGCTTTAAAAAAATAGATCAAGAGAGTAAGATTACATTTTTTTAAAAATTTTCTAATACGTTGGACGTACTAATAGATTAAGTTTTTTAATTGTTAAATTTGTATATTTTTTAATTTTTACGTGATTTTATGCATATTTAACGGATAAAAAATTTAACTTGCTGGTATGTATTGACGTATCTAAGAATGTCTTTTTTTTATAATTACAAAGGAATATTGATCAATCCAAATTAAAAAAAAAATGAATTATTGGTTGACCGTTTTTGTTATTAGGGACTTTAAAGCTTTTTGTTTGGAAAAGGAGACAAATATGAGTCTTAAATTTTTATCCGTTATATTTAATTAATACCTTTTAGTCAAATAAATATATTAGTTAAAACAATATTAATAAATAATAAATAATAAAAATTTTAGAATAATGCATTTAAAAAGTGAGTTTACTAATTTTTTTTTTATAAATATTTTTAAATGTTATCGCGTCTTTATCCAGGAATATTTCCGAGATGCTAACGAAGCAGCTCAATTTCTGGTTCATTTTGCTCTCAACATAGCGAAGGAAAATCCTCCACGGCTTAAAGCTGTAGCATGTTCTTGATTAATGATGGATCGTTTGTCCTAAAGAAAACCTGTAACAATACATCAAAATTTTATTAGTTTTTAAATTTTTCCTTTTTAAAAAAATATATGAAAAAAATTTGAAACAACAGACTAATAAAGCTCAAAGTAATTTAGAATAAAAAAAACCTTGTGTAATGGTGTCTAAGAAGGAAGCTTAATTGTTCAATAAGATATAATTTTGCAAAGACAAAAAGTTTTATAGTCTCGGGTCAAAACCGACTAAATCAATTATTTATTGTTCGATTTGATTTAAGTTTACTTTAAAATATGAACAAACACTGGTTTTGAGAGATATGCATTATAGAAAAGCTAACTACATAGAAATTCATCTGTTTCAAACACATAGCAAGAACGTTGCGTCAGAAGGCAAACCAGATTGGCCACTAATATACTACTTTTGCAATTATATGGTCAGTTCTAAACACAGAAGTTGATTAGCAAGTTATGTACACAAGGAAACCAAAAAAGAAAAGTAAAAGAAAACAGATCCATAGTGACACAGATTAGTATACGCATATAAGGAAACAGGAGTGAGTTTCAACTCCTTGGCATAATGATCCAGCTATTAGGCAGCATTCTGTGTCTGTGTAATGCATGAGCTACCCTGCTGCAGCACCAACCAACAAAAAACGCTCAGAACCGCATAATTTCAAGTAGCTCGGAACAAAATGTTTATGTTTAAATACGATTCTCCAACTACGCAGTCACGTATCTCTACAACCTATAAGATGCTTGACTAAAATTACTATTCGCTACTGTTGTCAGAAGAAGAGGAAGTTTAACCATGAACTCATCAAACTAAACCCCAAGACACTTGGCAGCATAATAAGAGAAATCTCTTCTTTCTGGTGTTCCATTTGCTTCAAGTGAGACGCCTTGACCATGATTTGCTGGGAAATTTTGGTTTTCCAGATCACCAGCGGTGGCAGAAGTAACTGTTGCATGGTCAGAATTACCAGAGGAACCACCAACAAACAGATGTTGATCTTGCCCCCATCCTTTTATCCGGAACAACATTATCATCTTCATTCACATAATCACATCTACGACGATCGTTTTCTTTTGAGGACGTCAACTTTAGTAGAAGAGGTGGCTCCCGGAGCACAATCATCATTGCTGTCAATGATGAGAATAGCTGTAAGAAACATATCTTAAAATAGATAGTATATTCCAAAAGTTGTCACACAGGTCAAATTTATAGTTACATTTATCAATAATTAGTAATTTCTCATGCTTCCCATAACAGAAAATAAATTTCCCAGAATAAGAGCAGTGGGATAATCTGAGAAGCATATGAAATTACTGTTGGTATTTAAAAACGCCACTGATATTGTCACTTCACATTTGCTTAAAACCTTGGTTTGATTTTGACGTCCAATTACTATTTTGAATAATTAACAGTATATATTAACTTCGAACCTTCCTCGTGTGATAACATGATATCTTACATGAAAAAAAAAAATGATCAAATCGCGCACAGAAAAGATTCATACTACTATCTGGATTCCCACGCCAGTTGTTCCGACTCTAATATCCCAAGGTTGACCAAACTCAATTCACTGAAGATCTTGCTCCTAATTTTTGCCGCCAACAGACCATTACAACAAGGTGAGACTAACGTGCATTTGTATGTAGAAACATCTATAGCAGGCCCTGGCTAAAGTTTTTATTCTAGTGTTTTGATTGTGAAACTTAGGATCGAAAAAAAACTCAAAGAAATCCTTACAAAACTACTAAAAATCTCACTAAATCAGGAAGATTAAACTCACAGTAATTAAAACAAACACATCAAAGGCACCACAACAGTTTTGGAGGGAAAAGACCCACAAAATTTTCCAAGAACCTAATCTCACCGTCACTCTTCCTTCCCTTGTACAAGCGTGAATTCCCGATTCTCAAATCCATATTTCCTCTCATAATGATTCCAACACAATGTATAACAATCTAAAATCTCAAATATATATATATATATATATATATATATATATATATACACGCTTGCATAAAGTAAAGAGCAAGGAAGTACGCTAAAAGTACCTCTATTTTTAGCATTTATAATCTTTATGGTATCAGCCTCCAACTTCCCAAATTCTCTCTTTCATAGCTCAAGCTCTTCCTCGGCCCCCTTCTTCGCGGACTCCAACTCCCCATTCTTCCTCTTTAACTCAACAAGATCGTAGCTTTTTTGGTTCTCCGCCATCTTAACTTTTCTGAGAAGCTTCTCGTACGTCTCTTCAGACTTCTTCGTACGCTCCTCCGCCAATTTCGCCCTTTCGTCCGCCATTGTCACTCTCTCCCGCATTGCGTCGATGCTCTCCCTCAGATTCTCGAGTTCGGCGCACCTGGCCTTGAAACTCTTGAGCTCCTCCTCCGCTTCGGCCTTCTGGAATCGCTCAATCCCCAGACTCTCTCTGGTTAACTCGTGCTGTTCGTCCTTTTTCTGGAGTTCTCGCTTCAGGTTCTCCTCTCTCGCGATCAAAATCTCATCGACACGGTCGAAGTAGGGCGACGTCCTGAGAACGGAGATCAGCTCAGAAATGCTCCGATTATGGTCGATGGTTTCGCCGTCGCCGCCGACCCAACGCCGGCTGCGCCTGCACCTCCACCGCCTCAACCGGCTCCTTATTCATCGTTAGAGCCACAAAATGACGAAACTCCAGACAGAGGGGGAAAAAAAAACTCTCTTTTGGGAGGAGGAAAGCTAACTACGGTTTTGAACTAGGGGAATGGCAAGGCAAGGAGAGCCACAAATGTTGACCGACGACGTGTCGTTTTCTGATGAATTTTAGCACTATCATCCCTAGACACTTTTGTAGTTTGACATATCATCCCCAGTCCCCTGCCATCCTTCTTCTAAGTTATGTGACTTCCGTTATCCATCATTCTTTTGAAGGAAAAAAAAAATCACATTAAAATTAATGAATAGTTAATCATGTTCAAACAATACAAATCGATGCCTCTCATGAGGAGTTCTATTTATTTATATATTTATATGTATATTTATTTATTTTATTTTATTTTAGGTTTCTACCATAGAAAAGTTGTTGCAGTTTTAATCATTTTCAACCAACCTTATGGTGTTACTGATTTAAATAATTTTTTCTAGATGCTTTGAAATAATAAGGGAGATTTATGTATTTATGACTATTGAAATTAAACAATAAAGAGTAATATCCATTAGGAAAGAAAAGATTATTAAGTAGGGTTGCCTAAACAATCAAAAAGATATCAACTATATTGGACGAGTCATGTCAACATAATGATATGGTACACGAAGTCTTGAACAATTTCAAGAAACAAATTAGCAAGAAAGATTCTTCATTAATCAACTTATGGCAAAATGCAAAGAGAGAAACCAGATTGACCACTAATACACTACTTTTGCTATAATCTGGTCAGCTTTAAATACAACAGTTAATTAGCAAGATATGTACACGAGGAAGCCAAAAAAGAAATAGATTGTTAGTATACCCATATAAGAAAACAGGAGTTTCAACTCCTGTTCTGTTAACAAGCTAAGCTAGCACAGTATCCGACTTTTAGGCAGCATTTTGTACATTTGCAAACCAAGCCACCAACCAGCAACAAAAGCTCAGAGCTGCATATAATTTCAAGGAGCTATGGACAAAATATGTATTCTCCAACTTCGTAGTCACATATCACAGTTAGCTATACGATGATCCGCGACCAGGATTACCAATCGCTATCAGTGTCAGAAGAGGAGGAACTATCCTTGAACTCAACTTCATCGCCAAGACAATTGGCAAAATAATTAGAAAAATCTCTTATTCTTGGCGCTCCATTTGCTTCAGATGGACCCAAGAACCCTTGACCCTGATTTGATGGAACATTGTTTTCAGGATCATTAGTGGCACAAGTAACTGTTGCGGGGTCAGGGTTTCCACAGGAATCACCGACGACAAGCTCTTGATCTTGCCTCATCCTTTTATCTGGAACAACATCATCATCGCCATTCTCATCCTCATTTACATTCACAGATGATGATTGCTTTCTTTTGAGAACTGTCGGAGATAATTCTTTTTCAGAGCAGGAGGCTCCTGGAGCACAATCATCATCACTGTCGGTGATGAGAATAGTTGGAACCAAATTACCTCCTGGAACAAAATAATCACCACTATCCGTAAGAAAATTGAAAATTTCTTCTAGAAAATTTTCAAGTTCGTTACGAGAAACATACCTTTAAATAGATGATAAATTCCAAAAGTTGTAAACATAATTTTAGTGGCATCTTTCAACAAAAGTAGTAATCTCTCGTGCTTCTCATGTCATAAAATAGATTTCCTAGCAGAAGACCGGTGAGAATTTCTTTATAATATGAGAAGCATAGAAACTTACTGCTTGTGTTTAAAATGCCACTAACACTGTCACTTCTCATTTGCTTAAAATCTTAGTTGGATTTTGAATTACATTAAGAACAATTTACAATATTTAGGTGATACTGATAACAAGATATCTTACAAAGAAAAAGTTAAACCAAACTGAGCACCAAAAGGTTCAAACTACTATCTAGACCACTAAAGATCTGGCTGCTAATTTTAGCCGCATTTACAAGGTGAGAATCATGCATGTATTGCATTTACAAGAATCTGTAGTAGGCCATCGTTAATTTTGTTATGTTTGTAAATTTGTATCTTCATATGTTAGACTCGAGCAAAAAACATCATCCCAAGAATTACTTTCAATCTCTCTAAATCAGGAGGATAAAACTCACAGGATTTGAAACAAACGCATCAAAGGCACAAGATCAATTTGCTTGGAAAGTACCTTAAAAGTCTCCAAGAAACTAATCACAGCCTCACACTCCCTTGTACAAGCATGAATTCCCTCAAATCCATGTTTGCTCTCGTAATGCTTTCAGTTTACAACTCAACACATACATATCAGAAATCCGCCTCGAATATGACTATGTAGAACAATAAGCCAATATACAACAATCTTAAATCTCAAACAAAGAATAAGCTTGCATAGAGTAAGGAGCCTGTACCTCCATTTTCAGCACTTAAGATCTCTATATCAGCCTCCAACTTTGACACCCGTTTCTCCATCTCCACAAATCTTCTCTTCCAAAGCTCAACCTCTTCCTCAGCTCTGGTCTTCTCCGACTCCAATTCTCCATTCTTCTTCCTTAACTCGACAAGATCGCAACTTTTCTCGCTCTCTGCCATCTTAACTTTTCTGAGAAGCTTCTCATAGATCTCTTCAGAACTCTTCGCACGCTCCTCTGCCGTTGTTGCTCTCTCACGCATTGCATCGATATTCTCCCTGAGATTCTCAAGCTCCGCACACTTGACCTTGAAACTCTTGAGATCCTCCTCGAGTTCAGCCTTTATGAGCCTCTCAATTCCTAGACTCTCTCTGGTTAACTCATACTGTTCCTTCCATTTCTCAATTTCTCGCTTCAGCTTCTCGTCTCTCGTGATGAGAATCTCCTCCAGACGATCGAAATCGGAGGGCCGAAACGCAGTCCTGATATCAGAGATCAGCTCCAAAATGCTCGGATTACTGTCGTCGGTTTCGCTGTCGCGACGGAAATGGAACACCACCGGAGCCTCCGCCACTTCAACAGGCTCGGTCTTCATCTTTGCAAACACGACAAAGCCGAAAATCCAGAGAAATTGTTCTGCTTTTGAAGGGAAAAGCGAACAAGGGTTAACCCAAAAAAAAAAAAAGTTTCAGCTCTGTAAAAATGGAGTTAAGCTAAAGCTTAAAGTTTAGAACCCGTACAAAAAATATTATATATATATATATATGACTGCTTTCTCTTCTGTGAAAATATTGCCCAGATTTAAACACCTCTTCTGAGAATAAATGCTAAAGTTTCTGTGAAGTTAAACGCCAACTTCAACAAAATCCAATTTAAAAAGGAGTCACATTAGCCTTCCAATTTGACTGCTTACTCTTAATGCTTATACATCGAAAAGCACACCAATTCATGCGAGTTTGATAAAATTCAAATGCAAATCGGATAAATCGTAGCAGAAATTAAACAAAACGAAAAAAGACACAAAATCATGAGAACACAAGTGGAAAGAAAAAGACGATGATAAATTTTTTATTTTTCTACATTTAATTTCTTGATTTTCAACACTGATAATCTACAAGAACGATTGATAGTAGATTGAAGAGATAGAGAGAGAGTTACCGTCGGAGCTTCACTCGCCGTTGAATGTCAAACCCTAGAAGAGAAGGAGAAGGAGGAGCGAGAGAAGTGAAGAAGAAGAAGAGTGAGCGCGAGAAGTGAAGAAGAAGAAGAAGAAGAAGAGAGACAGAGGGAAAGGACAACCCGATAAATTTCCCCACTCACCTTTCATTTTCCTCAACTTTTTTCTAAAAAGAAAAGTGAAGGAGTTGTTTGGTTGGGGGATTCGTATCCCGATTTGAATCATGAATATAGTATTTTTTTTTCATAAAAAATATACGTAAATTGAAAATAGTTCTAATCTCATGATTCTAATTCATGAACTAAACGTCTTCTAAAATTCAGCATCTACTTTACGATTATTCTCCCATATTTTTCCTTTTCTTTTTTTTTTCCACCCTTTCACATCGTTCCAAATATTTTCTGACATCTTTTTCTTCTTTTCCATCCTAAAATCTCGATTCCAAATATTGGCGTTTTTCATTTTATTAATTTGAGTTTTTAATTTTAAATTATTATTGTTAAAAATTTTAAAAAAATATCACATTTAATTTTTTTATTACAATTAAAAGTTTATAAAAAATATCACATCTCAGTTTGAATTAAAAATTTAAATTCACGAAATGAACGAGACTATAATTTTGAATTATAGCGTCAATTGTATATGTGAGAAAAATATATTGTACTAAAAATTTAAATTTAAATTTTTATAAAAAAATTATAATAATAAAATTTAAATTGTGACTTGAGTTGTGAGATGAAAAAGGCTCAGGGGTTATTCTTTTGCTTTTTTGAGTTAGGCATTTTTGAGTGAAGATTTTGAATTGAGTTTGAGTTATAACTTGAGTTGAAATTGTACATTGAGTTTGTGTTTAGTTGTGTACATTTGAGTTATGATTTGAGATAAGAATCTTTTTGAGTTTGTGTTTGAATGAGTCAACTTGAATTTGTATTTAGATAGTATTTTAATAAAAACTCAATAGTGATGAAAAATTTTAATAGGGTATATGGATAGAGTTTTATTCGTCTTTTCGTCATCAACACATAGAAAAAAAATAATCTCAATGAATTAAAACGAAAAAGTTATAACATTTTTAAGAATAGAAAAAATAATGTTCATTAATTTGAGTTTGAGTTTCTGGACTCGAGTTCAAAGGGAAACTTGAACTCGAGTTTTAGTCCCAAACTCGAGTTCAAATTCAAGTTTTACAAAAGAACATGAACTTGAATAAAATTGTAACTCGAGTTCAATTTTTTTCTAAATTTCGTTGCAAAAGAACAACCCCTAAAAGTTTAGAAGGAAAAAAAACACGAACAACAACGATACTGAAAATTTGAAATAAAACTGTCCGGAGGAAGGCGCGCGTCGTTTCTTTTTTTTTTTGTTGAAACATGTAATTTTTTGTTTTTTTTTACTATAATAAACATGTCGTTTATCGTGTTTTGGTAATATAATAACATGTCGTTTTCTGTTTTTGGTTGAAACGTGTCGCCTCTTATTTTTTCGTAGGAACAGATGAACAACATTCGACACACGACATATCCGGGTTTCTTTTTCCCTCTTTCTTAAGAAAATTGGTAGGAAATCAAGTTGTCTCTAAAATACAAGTAAAAAATAATAAAATAAAAAAGCAGCTAATAAGTTTTTACAAACTGAATCTCAGATATCTAATGGGACGTTTGCTTCATGATTCAGAACCATTCTCGTTTTACGTGTGTTTTTTATGAGAAAAAATACTGTAACGAGCCACGAACTATGATTCAAATCATGACACGAATCCCCCTTCCAAACGTATTAGTAGACCAATAATAATAAAAATAAAATATAAAATATAATAAAAGATAAAACCAAATGTGCCAGCATGTGGGACTCTATTTCCTTCTCTAGGAGACAATCAAAATTGTGTGCCACCAAACTCTGCCATAAACACATGGATGTGTTCTAAAACTGGCGCCTCATAAGAGATATTGTTGAAACTCGGTAGGTTGTCAGGGTATTCATTGAATCTGCCAATCTATTTAATCTGCATAATCCAATCTAAAGTTACGCATTAGATTATAGATTGAGAAATACTCAATCCGCATAATTCACCAATCTGAACAATATATATTACATATATTTTTTTATATATTATTAAATAAAACATATATAAAAATAGATAAATTATTTTCAAAGACATTTTGAAGTTTGTTTTCTTGAATTTCATATTTTAAATTATTGCCAAAGACTTAAGTTTTATGTTAGATTATAGGCCTGTTTGGGAGAGCTTTATAAAGGTTGTTGTTTGGGCTTCTTAGGTTCAAAAGTTACTTCTAGAAGTATTTAGATGATTTGTCGTAAATGATTTGACTTTTCAGAATAACTTATAATCAAAGTCAGAAAGTGTGACTTCTAAAAAAAATACTTTTTAATAGACTTTGAAACTGTTACTAGAGTTTAATTAAGGCATTATAAACATAATTCCAACACTTTTATTATTTATTAGAAAATTTAAAAATCATCTTGACCCATTAAGCTCTTAGTTTCAAACACTTACTGAAAAGCCACAACTTTTTACTTCTCTTCTTCTACTGGCTAAAAGTAAAAGTAACAACTCTACCAAACAGGCCCTACGTGTTATCATGAATTAGATTTTGTGAAACTATTGTAATGTTATGTTATGTTTGTGTTTAATTTTATTTTTAATTTTATGTATGAGGTTGATCGTTATGAGGAGACATGAGGTCAACCGCACTCACAGACAATAGTGAAGACGTTAAAAGAAGCATTTACGGAGTCGAGGCTACGTAAATATAAGGATCTAAAGGATTCTCTCCGAGATTTACTAATTGTAATTTAAATATATGAGGTTTAAATAAAGAAACTGTCATGATTGATTGTAATATCTATAGATAAAGGAAATATCCCGAATTCAAATAAGGAAAAAGATATGGGCGGTGATTATGAGTATAAATAAGGGATTATAAGTCAGAAAATTCATAAGTCTCATTCTGAGCATTAGTGTGTGTATTCTCTTCCAAAGTAGCGAATTTTCTCTCCTCCCCACATTAGATGTAGCTCTCAAACTGAGGGTGAACCACTATAATTCTCGTGTGTTCTTACTGTTTAATTGCTTTTAATCGTGTTTTAGATCATTTAATTCGTGCAAACTGTTTATAAATTTATTATTATTCTGTTGACGAATTTTCACCGTCAACAATATGTATATGTATATAGATTGACAAACTTTTCCAAGAACCTAAGCTCGACCTCACTCTCCCTTGTACAAGCATGGATTCCCAAATTACCAATTTCATTCTTGCTATCATAATGCTTTCAGTTCACACGCAAATCAGAATTTGGACTCAAATAATTTAGAGATACAAGAACGGCCCAGCCCATTCTATTTAGGCCCACGCGAGTCGTGGGCCGGGCCGGCTCAGCCTACGAATTTTATGGGTCGGGCCGGCCCGTATAAGAATTACCTTAGCCCAACCCATACCACAGGTTAATTTTACATGGGTCAGGTTGGGCCGTACCGTGGGCCAGGATGGGCTGTGCCGTGGGCCTTGAATGGGCTGGCTCATTCAAGGCCCATCTTGACACATCATGGGTTTAAATAGACCAGCCCATATATGCATGTAATTTTTATTTTTTTAATTTTAAAATTTTAAACAAGTTAACAAATATAAAAGTCAATGGAAATATGAAAATGAATATTTTATTTACGATTGTCTCATTAAAAACATTTTCAAGGAAAATTCAGTGGGACAAAACCTTGGTAAGAAAAAAATAGTACAATCAGGATAACTATACATAAGATGTTTACAAAATTACTAAAAATAAGAAAAAAAACATAAAAAATAAATATTGTTCATAATTACAACGTATTACTCCCAGTGGGAGTATAAAAAATGTCTAAATTTTCAAATTCATCAACCCAATCATCTTGAACTTATTGGCTTCTTCTACGAGCATCCTCCCAATCTTTGACGCACATTACTGCATCCAGAATATTATCACTCATGCGGCACACCGTTCATTAAGTACTCTACCACTGCAACTAAATACTTATTCACTTGTAACTGGGGACACTGGTATGATTAGTACATCATGTGTCATTCTAGATAGCACATGAAAAGTTCTTGATTGTGATCTCTAAAATGACAAAATATTAAACTTATTAAAATCATGACAACCACCTTGCTCACTGAAAATTAATGATGCAAAATTTGTTTCCAGATAGTTTTCCAATTCACTACGTGCTGAAGATGTGGATGATACACCGAAACCAAATCCGATGTAACTAATCATACTTTCCCATGAAGAACCATGTGGTACAGATGCAGTACTCGCTAAAGGTGTAGGGGATACTGTTTGGCCTCCTCCATATTTTTCATTATATGTAGTAAATATATTGTTAACTTTTACTTGCACATTTTGAATGGTTATGATGTCAGAATGCACCCTTAGGGCCCGTTTAGTTCGCTGATTCGAGTTGATATGTGATTTTATGTGAGAGCTTTTTACTGTAGTAAAAAAGTTAGATGTGACTGTTTCTAAGAGCTTTTTACTGTAGCAAAACTCGAATTCTAAACTCGAATCAGTGAAGTGAACGGGGCCTTAGTTTTTCCCTTATACCCTTAAGCAAATATTCAATACCAGCTAATTTAACTCTTAGATCCAATACAACGGCTATGCAATACAAAGTGGAATGTGCTCCCAATATTTTTAAAATTTTTGTTCTATGAACTCAACAGCTTCCCAAAACATATCAAAATCTCTATGCATATCGAAGGTTGCAACAATGTCATACAATTTATGTAATGCATGAGGAGAGGTGGGGCAGTACACACCTAAGAGTTGGAGAGTGACTTCATAAAAAACCTTCAAGAAATTGTAGAAGCATGAAGCAATTTGCCAATCAATTCTTGAAGCGGCTCAATTGGATTATTCAAGTTGTAATACACGGTTATGACCTCTTTGTATGGTAGGCATACGTTCAGCATTAAATATGTTGAATTCCACTGGTGTCCCACGTCAATAGGAAGTCTTCTGAGTTTCATGCTTGCTCTCTTGCAAAGCTTAGCAAATTCTTTAATTTGAGAGCCATAACTTGCTATGTAACCCAATGCTGTTCGAACATTTTCCAGATAACCTTGA